CCAGCAACAGCAGGAGAGGGACTTTATGCCCCCAAGGTCCGTAACAGATTGAGCAATTCAGTAGAACTTAAAAGACTGTAGTAAGTTTTAGTTTTAGAAGCTGTAAGTTGACCAGACCCTCTGCTTGTCACTTTTAGTATCCAGCTGCTGGCTGTTTTCAAAGAAAGTTACCTCATTAGCCACTGCCACGTAAATAGACATTTTTATTTTTCTATCCCAGAAAAAAATTAACTAACATTTGAAACAAGTTGCTAAAAAGCTACTCTTAGTCAATCACAGCACCTACAATTATTAAAAAGGATAGTTTTAAAGTCACCATTCTGTTAAAACAAAATATAAATTGGCCATAACAATTCCATCACCACCAGGTTGGAACAAATCCCTAGGTCTACGCTGATATCAGTCACCCACATAGGAGGGCAAATGCATCTGAAGTTAGAAGATACATGTTACTGAACTAAGACATTTCAAGCTGACAGAGAAACAGAACTATCAGGAAACAAATGTTATCAGACATTTTAACCAAAAAGCATGTCATCATGAAGCTACTCTGGATTGCATTTTATGTTCAGTGCTTAAAATGGCTAGAGATCTACACAGAGTGGGCTGCAACAGAACAAAACCTGGTCTACTGAGGCTTTTTATTTCTGTAATAATCCAGGAAAACTGTAACTAAGTCTACTTAAGCATTTATCACCAACAAACAATTCTGACAGAACTAAAATACAATCATTCCTCCCACATGCTAATGACAGAATGGCTAGAGCAAAATGGTATCCCATAATAATTTTACGTGTATGAAGTGTTCCATTTCATTTAGTGATATTATAAAAGTGATGCATTGGCCGTAACGTTTACTGTTTACAATCTGCAGCAAGCTATACCCTTCTCAAGGGAGATTAAATAATCAAGAAAACGTTACTCACACTATGTATTTCAGAAAAGTAGATCGCTGTGCCAATTACAGATTCTTTCCTATATTAAGAAGGATGTATGCTAGCCTAGAAAGGAGGGGGAAAGAGAAGAGAGAAGATTGGAGATTTGTTTGCTTCCCAACTGAAAAGGAGGTCATACGTTCATGCATTGAAAAAATTTTCATTTAGTCCAACAAAGCCTGAAGAGCAAAAAAATTTAAATGTTAGTTTTGAGTAGCTGCTGAAAACACTTCATTATAGGGGAAAAAAAAAAAGACTGAAAGCTCTGAAGAACCATACAGTGACTCACAGGACTACAAACAGAAAGATCCAGCAGTAGTCAGATTGCAACTTTGTTTCCAGAGTATCCATTAGAGGTGAATATTTTAATGATAGCATTTGTTTAAAGTATTCTTTATTAATATTGCTTATGCACCATTTTCCACTCAAAGATCACAGTGATCAATACAGGCTGTAACAAATTAAGTGTAATAACTCCAGAAAACAGATGCTATATTATTCATTTTACAGATAAGTAAATGCAAGTATGAAAAATTAAGTGACTTGCCCTAGCCAGAGAGCCAAAAGCACAGCTGTGAATATAATTCAGATACCCCAACTTCCAATGATCTGTTAACCACTAAACATTAGCCTTTCTAAAATGAAATGTAACCTTTCCCTCACATTTTGCCCTCTTTCTAACAAGTCTGGCAAAGCTAGTATTGAGGATGTTCACTTGATGCGGCTGTCTTTTAAGAAACCAAAAACTTAAAAAGAAAAAGAAAAAAGATAAACTTGACTTTACCACACAGATTACAGAACTCCCAAATCCCTCACTGTAGGGCTTAGTTACCCGTCTCTGCCCTCCCAAGAGCCAAGTCAGCAATAGCTCACAGATTTAAAGCTGCTGGCCAGGCACAGGCTTGGTAGGAGGTATCAGGGTCGCACATCATCCCAGAACAACACCTGCTGCAGTCCTGATTCATGGCAGGCACTTACACCCTGGAGCTGCCACCGCCGCATCGAAATGAGAGGAAGAAACGGATGGGATCATCAGAGCAACGTATACTGCCCCAACAGCTGTTCCTCCACATGTCCTGTCTCATGAGGACAGTTATCTTTAAGCTGCCTTCTTTAAGGCTCTCAGCACAGGCTATGCGTTGCAACAGCCTAGCAACCCAAGCTCGGCAAAAGGTTAAAAATGCTCATCAGTACTCCTGTTACACTGAAGGCTTTCAATGTCGTGGCAATTATGTCTTATGCTGTCTCAGCTCAGAACCTATTCTGCGTAGATAAAGCAGAGGGTTTTCTACCAATGCTTAAGAAACCCCTACAGGTCTAGGGAAGACTTCAAAGGCTAGCAAAGCATTTAGACAGGAAGGGAGGGTAGACGCAAAAACAGCAATGACAAAATGCCACCAGTCACAGAAGGTTAAAGAAAATTACTATCGCTTAGAGATGACAGCAAGCAATCATAATTTGATTGTCACCACTTATAACCTCAAAAATAAATTAGTAGAAACTTGAGAAACAGCATGTGCAATTAATCAATTTTACTGCACAGTTTTTTCAGATGTTCCCACAAATAGGAAAATCTCTTCGAGTGTCAAAGTACTTAACAGACATATACAGTATTTATGCACTCACAGCCTGAAAGATTAGAGTTGCAGAACATATCAATCATTTAAGTTTTTCAAGAAATCACCAAATAACATATTTTAGATACCCATGCTTTCAAACATTTGCCTGAACACACAACAGGAAACCTATGTTACTTTATAAGCATGGGTAATGAGCCGGAACATGTATCTACTATCGAAAAACCAAGACCTGTTTCCTAAACAGCTGTGGTAAGTCAGAGCACAGATCTCAGACCCATAACTAAAATCAATCACATTTACAGTCAAACATACAACAGTCAAATTTCAGAAAGAGATTATTAAGATTACTAAGAAAGAACAAGGTCAAAATTCACCTTATTGCAAAATCATACCATAAAACAAGGTAAGGTATAATTTGTGCGTTGCTACAGGTGTACTAAAACTTGCCAGCAGGAAATCAACTCTTATAATACAAAGGTCAAGGCCATTGGAAATGCATCTGCAACAAAGCCTTTGGAAATACCAGTGAAGCCAAGTAAGAACATCCAAAATAAGGGCAAGTGGTTTCGGTTTTATGTGAGTAAATACAGACTTTTGTTTCCAGTACAACCCATCAGGTTAGTAGTGTACTCTGAAACATGTATGAATTTAAAAAATGAATGGATTCCATCCTGCTGACCCTGTGCATGATTATATTCCTACTGGTGTTCCACAAGTTCCATAAGTCCGAGGCAGCCCACTTAAAACAACAAAAAAACCCCACACACATCACAGCTCTACCACAAAACCTCCAACCACGCCTCAAAATACTGTATATAAACTTAATTCACAAATAAACCAGCAACTACTACACATTGAACAGACTCTCCAAAGCTAACACTGAAGTCTCACTTTAGCACTGCGGGTCTCTATGATACTTCTACGACTGCAGTGGAAGCTTAAGAGCCCAAATACATTGCGCTTCAGTCCTCCTATTCCCTGCATTCCATCAACCGACCTTGAAGTTGGATCCAAAGGCAGAAAAACACTTTCTTCTTGTCCCTCCTCTTAAAAAAGAAAAACAAAAATCTTTGCTAAGCTTATCATAATATCACAGCCTGCATTTATAAACATTTCAACAAAATCGCCTCCACCAGCATTTTCTAAAGTCAGGTATTTTTCCATTTTTATTAATAAGTTGATTTGTTTCTTCCAGAAAAGCTTACTTAAAGCCAATATCTCAATCTCCCTCCCTGCAAATAATGTTTCTTTAAAAAGCTCTTTTTATCCCTGTACTCCTTTTGTTCACTCAAGACAACCAGATTTAGAGACAGAGAGCTTGAAAACCAAATCGTTTTTATATCATTACACCATAATTGTGGAGTTGCCAAGGACCACTACACAGCTACAATTTTTATTCTTTAAAAGAAAAGCAGAACATTTGTTTTGAACAAATGCTAATTTCTGGTTTACACCTGTTCAAAAACGCTGTGCATATTAAACTTGGGTTCTATTAACATTGCTATATTTGCAGTTATAGCAAACACAGTTCTAGCAAACAAAAACCACCCCAAAAAAACCCCAAACCCACAACTCAATGCCCTTGGAAATTTGCACTGTTTTTCTTTTTTTTTTTAATTTTGTTAAGCCTCTGGCATTTTATTGTTTAAAAAAAAACACTGCCAATCAGTTCTTGTTTTCCAGTCAAAGAAAACACTGCCCAACAATCCCAACTTCTGCTTATTGGCAGGAATGCAAGTCTTCCATCATTTGCCTTAAAAATGAAGAGTGGATAATCAGCTTAGCAACCCTAAAAATCTCAACAATATACAAAAACTCACAGCTCCCAGCTGGATATTCCAAAACAGACAATGTTTTCTAAAGCTCTTAGTAACAAAATACACAGTTCAGAGCAGTGTCATTTTGAGCTTTTAAGTTGATTAGTTCCTCCGTTTCTTCCACTGGTTTCCTTGCAACAAAGTCCTTAATATTAAAAAATAGGTAACTGTTAGTGAGACAGCCATAGTTCTTCCATTATCAAGGGATCTTTTTGCACACCACATGGGGAAACTCATTCATTGCACGTGGCATTACAACGAAGCAACTTCTGCATGGCAGAAGATAACCGAAGGGAAAACCTGTTGCGGCAAGGAAATGAAGATCCTGGAGCGTAGAGCTAACCGCCCACGCAAAACCTCAGGGCTCAAGGCAGGGCTTGCCTAGGGACACGCCAGTTATGTCACCTCCACGGCCGCTCCTGGGCACCGCACCTGCCACGGCCGATGCGCCCACCCGCCCAAGGGCCCGTGAAGCGATGCCGACCACCGCCACCGACCCGAGCCTCAACTCCTGACAACAAACGAAGCCCAAAACTTCCCACAAGTTTTGACAAGCCTCCCGAGGGCTGCCGGCCGCTTCCACCGCGGAGGTCGGGCCCGAGGCCTCAGCACCCCCGGACCCCCCAGCCGGCGGGGCCGGGGGGAGCTGCTCGTCGGTGGGTGCTTACCGGGCTGTGTCGAGCAGCGGGTGCTTGGTGCCCACCAGCTTGCGGACCTGCATGGCGATGTTGCTGAGCTCGTCGCTCAGCAGGCACCGCAGGCTCATGAAGGACGTCGGGTACCCCACGATCTTCTCGGCCTCCGACACCACCTGGCTCCAGGGTGGGCCGCCAGACGCCAGACCC